CTATGACTCGAGGCGCGCGCGATTTTCAACTTTGTATTTCTGACGGTGTCGTGCTTCTTGCCAACAGTGAGCTCTCCAATACTTGTAGTGTGGAACTTGGTGGGGGGATAAGTGCCTGTGTAAAAGAGGGCTGTGTTGGGGGGAGTGATCTTATTTGGCTTCCGAGGAAAGGTTCTTTACTTTCATGGTCCTCATCGAGGGTACCAATGGCCGCGACGTCGGCCACACCACCAATAAGAAAATCAGTGGTGGAGCCTTCCAGACCATGGGGCTGTCGGACCCGCTATTCAAGGCTATCCAAAAGATGGGGTAGTACTTACCCTCTTTATCTCAATAGTCGGCGATGTTGCTAAGTCGTGAGGTCCCAGATACAATCAGCCGACGCCAATACAAAGGAAGGCAATACCTGTCATACTAGGAGGCAGCGATGTGGTGGCGATGGCAAGGACTGGGAGCGGGAAGACTGCAGCTTTTGTTATACCAATGGTACTACTGGGAACAGTTCCGTGAAGGACGTACAAAGTCGAGGCATACCACTGCACAATGAATGCACGAGGTTAGGCTCTCTGCAGATACAAACTCTAAAGGGCCATAGCGAGGTAGTGGGAGCGAGAGCTGTGATCTTATCACCGACACGCGAGCTGGCCATGCAGACCATCAAAGTCACAAGAATGCTTGGTAACGCTAGCTCTGCCCGATAGGCCTGCTTAATTTACGAATGGTCTTCCTAGGGAAGTTCACTGACCTCCGTCTATGCCTTATCGTCGGTGGTCACAGCATGGAGTCACAATTCGACAGACTTTCGAGTAATCCTGATGTGCTTATCTGCACTCCTGGACGCTTGGTAGTAGGGGCTGTGATGAGCGATATGCCTAAGTGATGCCAGTGTGGTCACAGCTATGTATGGCTGAGTCAGTCGGTTGCCACCCCGGCGAATTTGGAGTCGTAATGAACGATCGAGTGTTGGTAGGTCCATCACATGGTGGAAGCGGACTTATCCCTGCAGCGTGTGCAGTACATTGTCTTCGATGAGGCTGATAGGCTCTTCGAAATGGGATTCTCTGATGACATGCAGAGTACTAAACTAGTCCTATTTCCCATGCCCATGCCTCGCTTCAGCTATCCTCAAAGCCACACCTCCTTCCCGGCAGTGTCTTCTCTTCTCGGCTACACTGCCTAGCCAGCTCACACAGTTTAGTAGGGCAGGTCTGCGATCAGACTCCACTGAGTTCATCCGTCTCGACGTGAGACGCATTCATTCGACTCACCGCTGTACATACGTAAATGCTGTCAGGTGGAGCATACAATATCCGACACATTAGATCTGTGGTTCCTCTATACAACAGCGGACTCGAAACCGGCAGCGCTGATATCGTTATTACGCAAGTGAGCCGTGAATTGCCACCACGCCTCGTCGAAGGCTTGTATTGTCACACTGCAGGCTTCAGTCGATGGGGAACGCGAATGCAGACAGCTCGACGGCCGTTGTAGCAGCTGGCAAAGGCGGAAAGAAGGCCCGGTCTCCGAAGACTATAGTAGGCTCCATCAGCCGAGCAGACCCGTTACTCCATCGCTCTAGGTGTTCGTCGCGACCCGTCACAATGTAGAGTTCTTCGCATCATTGCTCACACAAGTTGGCATCACCAACGCTCCTATCTACGGGTCCATGGACCAGACTCAGAGGACTTCCAGCCTCTCCAAGTTCCGCTCGGGAAAGGCATCGGTAGTGACTTGTACGTCTTATGAGCAGCGATGGATGAGTCGCCAGGTGTTGTTGGTGACTGATGTGGCCGCTAGAGGCATCGATATCCCCCAGTTGGACTACGTTATCAACTACGACTTCCCATCAAGCTCCAAGCTCTTTGTGCACAGATGCGGAAGTAACGTGTATAGCTAGTAACCAGTGATGCAGTGTTGTTATAGGAACTGCCCGAGCTGGTGCCAAGGGCTTGTGCGCCTCCCTGGTCACTCACGATGACATGCCCTATGCTGTTGAGCTTATGCTCTTCCTAGGTATGCCTTCCCAGTTCCTGGGTGTGCTACTGTGGAGGCTCAGCGTGCTTTCCTCGTAGGTCGGAAGCTCGGTCTGCAGCCTCTAGGTAGCGATCATCCATTCCCTGCTGAAGGGGAGGTGGGAGGTGATGGAGTTGATGAAAAGAGGCTCTGTGTCATTGGTGGCATCCCCAGTGTACAGGAGGAGGTCGAGACAGTGAGCATCAGGAGGTCCGAGGCTCGATTCCCGGTCATGGTATTTTTCCATAGGTTCGCAGACTCGTATCAGGAGATGCTGAACTGGCTTCTTTGCAGAGGTCGATGATGAGTGCTTATCACTTGTACTATAAGACCCGTCCAGCAGCATCGAACCAGAGTGTAATAATGTGTCTGTAGCCTGTATCGATAGGTCACCTCGATCTTTAGGTAAGGCGGGCGAAGCTGATACTCAGAGCTGAGGCGGGAGGACCTCAGAGGCTCTTGGATACGCCACACCCAGCTTTCAGAACAGCGGCTGACCTTGGTAACTCAAGCGAGAATAGTGTATGGGGCATGATGGTCTCGGCCAGGTTCCCAGAGTGTTGAGGATGTTAAGGAGAAGCTCGACATGATAGCGCAGCTTCGTAGGTTAATGTTCGTCTCTGGCTGTAGACAGCTTCTGCATGCGTTCGATGTCTGTTGCTTTGTCTACTATATTGGTTCCTCAAATCCGCAGGGTCGTTCCGTCCTTCCCAGCAGCCCAAGATGGCTGGGAGTACGACTGTTATCAAACCGGAAACGATGGCTGAGATATCCCAGCATGTGGTGAGGTTCACATGTTAGCCATATAGAGCGCCATCATGGGTTTGTTGATAGGTAGCACCGAGACAATTGCGGCATGATCTCAAGAAGATGTCGCGAGCAAAGCAACAGGTGGAGCATCATAAAGAAGGAGAGAGTGACGATAGTGAAACGGAGGAACTCGAGAACGTATCAATCTTTGCAGCGTTTCGTCTTCCACTGTGCGTGTATAGGTTGAAGTTGCGCAAGCTGGTGAGAAGAGGGCATTGCCTCTCCCGCAACAGGCTGATAGACAGACTCACAGGCTCAGTAAGAGAGCTAGGAAGAAGCTTGAGAAGGGCGGTGAGTTGGTGGGTGTATTCTTGACCCCTTGAAAGCCTGGTGTTCAGGTGGTCTGCCGCAGCCCGGGGAAGAGGTCGATGGGAGGGAAAAATCCTCTTATCACTTTGAGGAGGGTGTGAGTGTATTCAACCAGACGACGTGTCGATCTAATGAGTTCTATCTTGGTAAGATGACATTGTCTCCGCTCGTCCTTGGCATATCAATTACCCTTCAGGCTCCGTTGATGCCGACCCAGAATCTATTGAGGCGAAGGAGAGGGAGAAGCAGTTGGATATTGAGAAGGCCCAGCTGGACTTGGTACCTGATGATCGAGAGTCAATGACTAAGGCGAAGAGCGTTATGCGATGGGACGCAAAAAAGAAGAAGTGAGCTGTCGATGTCTCTACTTTCTTCACGAGGTGGAAATGAACAGGTATCTTCCAGTGATGGTCGCTGGTGATGGTGGAGCTCCGATTGCATCTAGGAAGCGACGTAATGAGGCTGGCAAGGTAGTTGTCAGTGATGCGGTGTTATCGATATTGCTGATGTTAGTTGGTGAGCGGCGAGATGGAGAAGAGCGACATATACTCTAAATGGTTGAAGTCGAGTCACAAGAGGATACAAAAGGTTGGAGAGCTTGAGGATAAGCAGGTCAGAGTTACTACGCATGGAGAAATGAGCTAAGATCGTCGATTACAGAACACAGCATTCACGGCGCCGAAGAAGGCGATCACCATTGAGAGTGACCACGAGGATGGTGGAGAGGATCGGGCAGGTTCAGCTGGGGGAGCGAGGATGGTGAAGGAGTTCCACGGCGAAGTCCAGAAAGAGTAGCCGATTCCCGCTCTCCTGTCCATTCACCGTGATGTTCTGATAGGTTTCTCACGAATAAGCAGAAACGGCATCTCGCAAAGCAAGATAGAGTGATGAATCGGGTTGGAGTGACGTCGAGAGGCGACAACGCTAAGGATGAGCTCCTGCGTGCCAGCCAGTACGCAATGCTTCAACCGCAGTAGACTGTCTTTCGTGATTGACCGAATCGATTGTCAGGATCGCTAAGAATCGGAAGAAGAAGACCATGACGAAGATCATGCAGGACCCCAAGAGGAGAAAGGCTTTCGCAGCTAAGAGCAAGGTGGGAATCCTCCTCCGCTCGAGTCTCCACGTCTTCACTGTCTCCTATACAGGCTGCCTTCCGAGCGAAACAGGCTGAGAAATTCGCCCAGCGTGGTGCACCGAGGAGATCCTTCGCCGTTGGTGGCAACAGTGGTGAGCTTGCAACTGTCATATTGTTGATCTACTAATGAGGTGATGCTTTCAGGAGGGAAAGGGCGGGGACGTCGATGATCATGATGATAACGGGCGATCGTGCTACAAGCCTACCACTGCACAACGTTGATTACCTAACTGTATACTGCGGCATTGTTCCTCAGCAAAGCCACTAGGGCTTTGCTGTCCACACGTTTCTTATGTCATGTTCTTGTTGTGCTCGCGGAGTGTGGGTGTACACGACTGAAAGGACGGGAGTAGAATTCTCGATGAATTTGTACACGTCTCATGTGACATGAATCATGTCGTTGAACCTTGTATATGTTTACAAAGGCCCGGGATGCACCCACTATACAGTATGCATTCACGGTTACCATGGCACTGCCGAGCCGGCACATTTCTCGTGCAATATAGTTAGCCCTGGATTTCCTTCCAATATGTACACGATAAATAGTGGGCGATACTGGTACCGGTCTACAATATATTCACTGGCACTTGCGCAAGCTCATAAGAAGGCACTTGGCCAAGTAGGTGCTCAACAGCCTTCAGCTCCTTCTGTACTGAGCGACACAACATTGAAACACTGGAAACGACACCCATACGTCATGTAGATGCTACGATAGATTAGCACTACGAATTGAAAGATATACCAGACTCATGTGGATGACCATCGAATAGCGCTGTGGAATCCTGGACCGAGGATAGAGCACTTACGGCACCATCAATATTGAACTGCGATACGATCGCAGCTTCGAGCTGAGGGGCATTGACCGCCGAAAGAAGGCCTTCTTGTGAGTAAATCGACAACCAATGGACGAGGTCGGTCTCATGGATCTGACAGGCATCCATCTCTAGCTCGAACTACGGATAGGAAAACACAGAGAGAAAATATCCGCTTGGCAGAGGAACATTCATCATAGATGTGAGGGGAAGTAGGAGAACAGCGGACTCAGGCACCACAACCTCACATCTTTAACAAGCAAAGTCCGAATCGGGACATCGTCGTCTGGGCTTAACTCTCTGACCCTGATGGTATAATTTATCGCATAAAATGCCTGAGAGCACATCCATTCTGTATAGTTGGCCATTTTGTGGCGAGGAAACGCAATTTCCCACCAGTGAGAAAATACGATCGATAAGGAACGACTAACCATGAGCAAGCACGGCATCCGGGTACACCTAACGACAACTAGAACATCCCAGCTCACCCGCGTGTTCTGTTCCGAACACCCCTCAAAGAGCTCTACTAAGACAGAACTGCTTCTCCCGTCCGTCAGCCTTACGCGTCGCACCGCCGATGCCAGCGCTTCTCCGGCCACGTTCTGATTAAGATCGGCAACCTGAATGGGACAAGGATTAGCCAGTCGCGAAGCCTCAGACCGTTGAAGCGCGGTCGTATGATGCATTTAGCTGATAGCAAAACCTTCTGTACCTACATTTATATGCGTCGTCCTTCTAGTTAGCTCAGCCTTCAATAAGCTTGGATGGAATTGAAGTTCGTCCCGTCCTATTGGATCCAACTACGGAGAGTGTTAATTCCATTGGCTGAGCGCGGTGGAGTCGCTACAACGATCCCGTGTGACAGAAGGAGATTCCCGAATTCTTTTCTTTGACCGGCAGTGAAACCCCTCCAGTCTCCGGGAGACTCTAAAGTAGAAATAGTGTAACTTGCGCGCAGATTTCGAATCGGCCGGATGCCTCCGAGTATGTAAGTGACGGCCTCTTTGATGGTTTCAGTCTGATTGATGATCACATGGAACTCCCGCCCATCGTCGGTATGACACTTGACTACGAAATCTCCAGAAACTTCCTCCGAGTACCTACGGAAAGGCGTGAAAAAATCATTATATTTTTTTTCAATTCCAAGGCCTTGCTTCAACCGCTCTAAGCGTTGCGGCTCGAGGATCCGTGTTGGCACATATACCAATGCAGAAATTGTCGATAAACGATGGAAGCCAGCCTTACAAGCTCAGGATCGCAGTGGTATTGCCTCCATTGAAACTACGCGTCACGCGATGTATGAGTCGTATGGAGTCGCCTGAAGCTCAACGGCAGCCGGCATCCATTCGACATGATCGAACAAGGAATACCATGCTCATTTCTCCTGAATGATTCACCTCCAATGGCTCTGCCGGAAGCGCAGGTTGCCTGAGCGGCCGGGAATAAGACGTTCCAAGATCGCGTCTAGACACGATGGGTCAAGGGCCTTGACTCAAGGCTCGCATCCACCATAGACAGTTTCTGGTGACGCAGTAGTGAGAACGACCGCTCGCGTACAATTGCTTCCCAGAAGAGCTTCGTATCGGAAAATATCAAGTGTTGGTGATCCGTGTCAGACAGCATTCCTTAAGCGGCGTAGGAAATTGGTAGAGAATGAAGTGTGTGGATGCTGTGACGAGAACATAGACGGTGATTTAGTCACTTACCGACTGAAAACAATGAGGAGACGACGTAAACCAGCTTAGTATTGCCGCACGGTCTTCATCAACTAAGGGATACCTTCGGCAGATGCATATGGACCGGTCCGGCAAGCGTTCGAATCGACAACCCACGGTGCTCGAAATTCAGAGGGGTGGACATCCTCTGCCGAGTACATGGCTACTCCCTGCCATATAAGCCGCCGCCTGTCAGCAGACATGAGGGCTATCCTAACCTGAACAGGGTACAGTGATAACGCTCTCCTACGCTCTAGGGCATACGATGGATCTTTCCTGGAGATTGCACAGCACGAACCTGTGCTCGCCAAGGACGATGAATGTGGTGAAAATGAAGGGGTGTCCGTCTTGGCGTGGCAAGATAAGATGACGCCATGAAAGATCCTCGAGGGAGATTGTCTGAACGGGGAGCATTCACACTGTGGACTCCATAATGAAGGTATCGCTGTTAGGCCAGCAGTGCAGGGCCCAGGGAGTTCTCACCATTGTCAGCCCGCCAGACTTGGGTGCGTCCTCTTCCAGAGCCAACTGAGTGGCCTTCAAGACTATTCTCACTTCAGTACACGGCTCTATTCCGGGTATCAAACGGTTGACTGTGTATCTGATACTCCTATTGTGCAGAACAGGTGACTGCGAATCTTGACTTACAGGACTTCAACCTCGTCCTTGAAGTCAGCATTTGCAACGACGACCGGTATGGCAGCTTCAGCAGATCCATCCTCTCTAATTGTTACCTTATCAAAACCTGAGTGTCCGATTACAATGTAATCACAAACAAGCAGCAACAACCCACCTCTCTCACAGTGTCGATAAGCAATTGGCTCGTCCACACCGGCGTCAACAATGTATCCATCTCGGAGCATCTTACCTGTTGGTACGGCTTCTGTAGGTGTATGTCTTGGGTCTATGACATGTTATATCCGATGTGTACTGGAGGAGACTTCTTCCGATCATTTCAGTGTATGGCTGCTGGTAGACAGATCGATTCGCTGAAGTCTGTGGTCCAGCAGGCTCATCTAACCCAGAACATGAGCTATCATGTAACGGTCATGCTTAGATAAATTCTGCCTAGGAAGACGTGAATGATATAGAAAAGTTCCCGGAGTACGCGTAGTGTCACCGCTGCCCAGATTGCTATCATCTTCGATAAGCTGGAAACTCTTCCTGTCAGAGGTTGAGGAACTTTCTCTGGAATTCCTGAGATCAACCGGAGGCACCGAGCAAAATTCTGATCAGACACACCCAAATCTTATAGATATTTGGCTCGGTAGTGCGGTATCAGCTACTGATAGGGCGACAACGTGCGGGAGAGATGCTTCAGATAGGCAGACAACAAGCCTCTGAGGAAAGAGCAACGACGAGCGAGACTCGAAGTGTTTGAGCTACTCGTTGACTGGAAGTTGCGCAGTCGGAGGGCGATGGAACGATGTTGAAAACGCAGAGCATGTGCCTCTGCGGCGTGGGCGTTGAGCTGTCAGTTGGCATGACCTATACGACAATGTGCTCTTGGCAATGAAACGACTCTATTCAATCCTTACAGCAAAGAATGACGACCGGGTTCGCTCTTCCAAGATCGATACTAGTATGGACGTAGACCCATCAGACGTGGTAGCTGAGTGCCTATGCTTTGAATAACGTGAGGTGTCTGAGGTTTGTTCGATTTACACTGAAATTATCAGGTTGAGGTCATGCAAACGCTTGGCGCCATGGAAAAGGTTATGCCAGCCAAGGGTGGATGGGATGACCAGCTCCCTGTCTGCGGTACCTACAGAGTGAGATTTGAACCCGAGACGAATGATGGGTTCGCATTCCGACCGCAGGCTATTCCCCGATGATGCAGCAAGCCTGAGGCGAGCAGCTCACTCGACGCCCCTCCTAAGTCTTTATCCTTGGCCCGGCGCTCTTCGGTACCTCGTGATTCGGCATTTGAATACGCAACCGAGAATCGGCCAAGGGTATAGGTGAGCGGCATCGCTCCATTACACGAGAACGCGTACCATTAATGGGGATTCCGGTGGGCTCAGGAAAAGCTGAAAGAGCTAGCACGTGGCAACCATTGTTGTCGAGCTTCAGCGTCAGATGACTGATGATACAGCCGGGAATCTAATCGAAAACGATGCAGTGTACAAATGCCACGAGAATCATATACCTCCTCT